AGTGTCCTCATCTTTGTCGCCATATTTATTACAACGTTTCGGCCTGTCAGTATCTGTCTATATTTCTGAGATGATGTCTTATGTACACTATTTACATTATTCGGACTATTGTCCTCATCTTTGTCGCCATATTTATTACAACGTTTCGGCCTGTCAGTATCTGTCTATATTTCTGACATGAGGTCTTATGTACACTATTTACATTATTCGGACTATTGTCCTAATCTTTGTCGCCATATTTATTACGTTTCGGCAGGTGGTTGGAATGTCGAAATGAACCCTTTATTTCGCTCACTGGGGTAGAATGTTCTATTTCCACGTGCCATGTCTAATGGATGTCAGTAAGGACACATGGCACAGTGGATAAAGGCGTTAGTTAGATCCAATGATAGGACCCAAAGAGTGTGAGTTAAATACCCGTGGAGAACTTGGAGAGGGGAATTAACAGGAGATAATTGACAACTGACATCCATTAGACATACAATGTGGAACTAGAACAGTTTAACCCAGTGAGCGAAATAAAGGGTTCAGTTCGATATTCCAACCACCTGAAGAAGGCCGGAGCGTACAACGGCCGAAACGTTGTAATAAATAGAGCTTTTTTTTTCGAATTTCTGTCATAATATATTAATCCTGTAAATATTTCGTTCTTTTTTATTCTTTTCTTGATCTCTGTCTGAATTTCTGGGGCAACATAAGCTATGTAGAAGACAGTGTTTATAACAAATACTTGGAAAGAAAACTACAAAAATTCCTACAGAAGGTAGTGAAGGAAAGCGAGACGACAGGCCTAGACATCAATTGCAAAAAAAAATACAATGAATGGTTGTTAGCAAAAGGGATACCCCAAAATGCAATTTACAAAATGGAGATACCAAAATCAAACAAGTCCAACAATCTAAATATCTGAGAAGTGTTTTAACAGAAGACTGAAAGTGCAACCTTGAAACCCAAACAAAATATGTTTTCCAAAAGCTTAGCAGATTATTAAGATATTAAAAATTTTTAAGATATTAAAAAATATTTCATTAAAAATATTTTAAGTTATTAAAAGATATTTAAAATTTTCTTAAAAACGAAAGAAAGCACTATTTGAAAGTGAATGCTAGACAATCTCCTCAAAAATGAAGAAAAGACGTGAAGCAACAGTAAGATGCTGAGGATGTTATGTAGCGAACATGTGAACAACGACTAAGTTGTAGAGAAAATAGAAAACACAAAGGACAGTTATACTTAACATCAGTAAGATGCAGTTGAAATTGCTCGGACACGTAATGAGGGCTTGGAAAATCTGCTACCCGAGGATAGAAGGAAAAACGAACAAAGGAAAGAAGCGTTTAACATACTTGATGAGCATGAATAAATGGATGGTAGAACAGGGTTTGGGAGAAGTAACAAAAAGAAAAACTCATTAAGGGACAGGAAGTTGTGGAGGGCCATGATCGTCTATGTTCTGAAGGGACATAAAAGTAAAAGACTGTAGCACTATCGGGAAGGATAGGAAAGTATTTTAAAAACAACATTTTAAATCTTGAGGCTTTCGTATTTAATTTTGTATGTTTCATTTTCATCTACCATTAAAATTGTTGCAATTAAAGAAAAATTGACATGACTTTCTGACCGGAAGTGAACTATGTCAATCCCTAGATCGAGAACACTGGGATATTTTAATTTATTTTAGTATACCCCATCTGCCTTTACTATTAAATCTTTGTAATTTAGAAATAAAGAAAAAAGTACTGAACTGTTAGCAGATACCAGCCATCCTCTATGGTAGCGAATGCTGGACAATTTCCTCAAAGATGAAGAAGAGACTTGAAGCAACAGAAATGTGTTTCTACAGAAAGATGCCGAAAATACCATGGACCGAACATGTGAGCAACGACGAAGTTTTTAAATGACAATAGAAAATACAAAGGACAATTATACTTAACATCAGGAAGAGACGGTTGAAATGTCTATAGCACATAACGAGGAAAAGGAGCTTGGAAAATTTGATACTCACAGGACGGATCGAAGGCAAGAGGGACAGAGGAAAACAACGCATGACCCATGGTCGAACAAGGTTTAGGAAATAAATAACAAAAAGACCAAATTTATTAAGAGTGACGAACGACAGAAAATTGCGAAGATCCATGATTGCATATGTCCTGAATGCACACGGCCCATGAATAATATGACGTGCGAACGATAGCCCACTTGTAAATAGGGTAAATTATTCTTATAAACGTTCTTTTAATACATTATACTACACTGAGAGATCATTCTTTTTTGCGCAGTTTGTCTGGAAAGTAAAAGTAATTCATTATCACCTCACAGTATATTTTATCTGATTAATTTTAAAAGAATTTCTACATTGGAATGTGGTAATATCATTTTTTACATTGCCATCTTTGTAAGACTGGAGACAAGAGTGGACTTTAATGTTGCACTTTTATAAATAGATTTCAATCTTATGCCAATATATGGCGGCTGACTTTTAAGTAAGTAATGTTACTTTAGTTTTCATTTTAAATAGTCTTAGTTTTATAGACAGTATTCTATTATAATTGTGCCTGTCCCACCCTTCGTTAAGTCGCACGACCGTTACGCCCTGCTAATACCTCATAAACAATGTACTATTTCGTTTTGAACGCGTGAAAAGAGTGGAAAAGGCACTACTTGCTTTTTAAAAGAAAGAAAGAAAGAAAGAAAGAAAGAAAGAAAGAAAGAAAGAAAGAAAGATACAAGTATTTAATGTCATCAGCACTATTCCGTTTTGATCGCTGGGAAAGTGGGGAGGGAAGACGCAACTTAGTTTCGAAAGAAAGAAATAAAGAACAAACGAATGAACAAAAGAAAGAAAGAAAGAAAGAAAGAAACAAACAAACAAACAAACAAACAAACAGACAAACAAACGATCGAACAAATTAACAAAGAAAGAAAGAAAAAAAGAAGGGAATCTAGGAGCGTTTAAAGTTCCCTGCCAATACCTGATAAACAAAGGTTCATTACGTTTTGATCGCGTGGAAAGAGGGCGGGAAAAGACACTATTCAATTTCGAAAGAAGAAAGAAAAGAAAAAAAAATCGTTTAACGTCTTCTGGAACATTATTTACATTATTCGGACTACCATCCTCATCTTTGTCGCCATATTTATCACAACGTTTCGGCCGTTGTACGCTCCGGCCTTCTTCAGGTGGTTGGAATTTCGAATTGAACCCTTTATTTTGCTCACTGGGGTAGACTGTTCTAGTTCCACGTGCCATGTTTAATCGATGTTAGTTATCAGTTATCTCCTGTTAATTTTCCCTCTGAAAGTTCTCCACTGCCTTAACCGGGTATTGAACTCACACTCTTTGGGTCCTGTCACTGGATCTAACCAACGCCTTTATCCACTGTGCCATGTCTCCTTCTGGGAATACCTCATAATGGATTATTCCGTTTTAATTACGTGGGAAAAGAAAACATATCAGAGACGCTGCTTAGTTTTAGTCAAAAAATGAATGAAAGAAAGAAGGTCAGATAAAAGTGTTTAACAGCTGTTTCAATGAAATGGAAAAAGTTATCAATTTCAAATGTTTTCATTTGTACCCCCTTACTTCTTAAAATAATTACCAGGATTCATGATTATGATTATTATTGTAATATTTTGTTAAAGTTGTTTAAGCTAAAATATTTAACGATGAGATAGGGGAATTTCTATGGATACTTTATTGCCATAGAATTCGCCATCAGCTTATTCGCTCAGTAATTATAGAATTAAGATTCATCAGAACATTCAAATAGGAAAACCGTGAAATCTTCATGCGTGTCTAGTAATATTTATTCTCACAAAGATGGACCACATGTTATATGAGAAGAAAATTATTGAATTCGACGTGATATAATGGTTACCACGCTTGTTTCGTTCAATGAGTTACATGTAAGTTGCGAGTTGGGTCCACACTAAGTGCTCCTTTATCACGGCCTTGAGCTTCCTCTACGCAACGCTTAGTAAATTTCGTTTATGGCTCCTTGGGCATTTCGATATTGTTAGCAATTTTGTCTTGCTCAATCAATTATGAATGAGTTGCGAATTTGATCCTCACTGGGTGCTCCTTTGTCACGGCTTTGTACCACATCTATTACAGTTCAATGTGATGCAGTGGTAGCAAGTTTGTTTTGCTTAAGGAATTATGACTGAGTAGTGAGTTCAATCTTCATTGGATGCTCCCATACAGTCAGCCTTGTGCCATAGCTAAGCTTCTATTGAATTGCAGTCATAATATACATTCATCCCGTGAATTTTTCCTTTCTTGATGGTTTCAAATAATTATTCTTTTACTACATTCATATGTTGGGAAGTTTTTTTTTTCTCTCCTTTTCTTTATTGATATATGTTCACCCTGTAGACTCCCCATGCGGAGTATAGAGCCACAGCCTCCCTCTTTATAGTTCACATAGCAAATAGGTTTTTATACAATGAAGTTGCCCACATCCAAATGATTTGGGATTAAGAGTTGTTCTTTTCTTAGACTGATTTACCAACCAAGGCTAGAAAGCTCAGTCTGCCCTGCTATTAAAAGATGGCTTCATATCTTTCCAAAGTTATTTCTGAAAAGGTGAAAGCAGCAGCCTTGGCTGGAATTTGAACTCAATATGCTAATCTAACTGCCAATGCTATGTGCACATACTTTTATTGATGTCGGCTTATTTAAATTTCTTGGTTAGAACATATTTATGTTATTGATATAGTTTTGTTTTTGTAAAATTTTCATTTTTACCTCACTTAAAGAGAATAATGTAATCAATATTTGTTGTTGTTGCCTTTCTGCTTCAGGAAATACTTAATGAATCCGCTTAAAATATTTCTTTTCTCTGTAAACTATCAGTGATGGTAGAAAAAAAAAAGGCGTGTTTTTAAAATCTCTTTTAATCCTTATCTACTTTGTTCATACGTTGTGGGGACAACTGTCTGTATTGGAATGCTTTGGCTTAGATGTTATAGATTTGTTTTTACATATGTAGAATATGAAGTGCATGGATTTTTTTCTTCTTTCTTTTCTATTAATTGGTAAAAGTTTGTAGAGAAATGAAGAAATTTATCACTCCTCTAAGTTTCTATGGGTTAAACTATGAAACTAAACATTTTATGGTATAGAGAGAATTACATCCAGTATAAATGTAATCCATGTTATGGATTATAGGATTTAATTACCTAAATTATTGAGAATAGATATAAACTGTTATTACAATTTATTTTTGTAAAACAAGAGTTGAAATGAATGAAAATCACAAAACAAAAATTCTTGTTCATAAACTTGGACTTTTGCTCTTTGTTTTTTATTTGTGACAGAAGTCTTTCTTCTAATTGTTATTTTTTTCTTCTTTTCCTCCTTTTCTCTTTCTCCTCCTTGTTCTGTTCTTCTTCTTCTTCTTTGTAAACATGATGAAACTTGTTTTTTTTGTTTTTTTTTCTCCTTTTCTCTTACTCCTCCTTTTCTCTTTTCTCCTTCTTTTCTCTTTTTCCTCCTTTTCTCTTTTCTGCTCCTTTTCTCTTTCTCCTCTTTTTATCTTTTTTCTCCTTTCTTTTTCTCTTTTCTTCTCCTTTTTCTTTTCTCTCCTTTCCTCCTTTTCTCTTTTTCCCCTTTTCCTTTTCTTTTCTCTTTTCTCCCCTTTTCTCTTTTCTCTCCTTTTCCTTTTTCCTTTTCTCTTTTCTCCTCCTTTTCTCTTTTCTCCTCCTTGATAGTAGAACAAAGGCGTGTTTTTAAAATCTCTTTTAATCCTTATCTACTTTGTTCATACGTCGGGGGGACAACTGTCTGTATTAAAAAGCAGTCATAATATACATTCATCCTGTGAATATTTCATTTCTTGATGGCTTCTAATAATTATTCTTTTACTACATCAATATGTTGGGAAGTTGTTTGTTTGTTTTGTTTGTTTGTTTTTTTTTTTTTTTTTTTTTTGGGTTTTTTTTCTCTCTCCTTTTCTTTATTTATATATGTTAACCGTATAGACTCCCCTTGCGGCGTAAAAAGTCACACCTTCCTCTTGCTATAGTTCACAAATAGATTTTTATACAATGGAGTTGCCCACATCCAAATGATTTTGTACTTAGACTTGTCTTTCTCCTAAACTAGTTTCCAACCAAGGCTATGCTTCCCTGTCTGAGATACTTTCATACTTGTTCAAAGGTATTCGTGAGGAGGGGAATGCAACTGGATTTGAACATGGCATACTTTCCTGACGCATCCCAATTCTATTTACCTATACCTGGCAAAGTATAGCAACTAGACGTAGCATTGTTTCGTAGCATACTTACGTCCCTTTACCGATATAAAGTTTTGAAATTTCTTAATAAGAATATATTTTTTAAATTTTAAAATATTTGTTTGATGCACTGTATTCTAGTTTAAAATTAAAAAAAAATCTGTCCAAGTGTAAAAATATGACCAACCATTTTGTCGTCTGCTAATTCAATGATTTTTTCTTTTTTATCGGAGGCGTGTATTTATCGTGTGATATAGTAATGATTTTTACATATATATATATATATATATATATATAATTATTTATTTAAAAATATGATTCCAAATCGCGACATAAGAAGTCCCATGTTTCAAAACAAAAGCCGAAAACTTCAATATAATTTTTTAAATTAAATTGAGTTAAAAAACACGTTATTCCAAAAAAATTTCGCTTGAAGATGGAACAGAGCTTATTTTAACTCAATTTAGTTTAAATAATTATATTGAAGTTTTCGACTCTTGTTTTGAAACATGGGACTTCTTATGTCGCGATTTGGAATCATATTTTTAAATAAATATTTATATTTATGCTCTACTTTTGTATCGAGCACTATATTTTAAAAATAATAACTAAAATACTAAGGGACTTTGGATTATTTACCTAACCAGTTCCTTCCTATTTTCTATATATTTTCATATATATATATATATATATATATATATATATATATATATATATATATATATATATATATATACTAGCGTGAAAAGGAAAGGAAATGTAACTGATCATTTTCATTTTTCTATCTAGGGTCTTCTGGTGCGTATGCAAATTGGTTCGTTTTTATTTAGCCACGCATTGGAGATGCTCATAAATAAGCGAGTTCGCGTATTTAGAGAAGCTTTGTTTTGTTTTGTTTTTTCCGTATGCGGTCTTTAATGTGCACCTTTAGCCAGAAGGGAGAGTGACGTCATCATCCCTTCCTCCCTCAAAGCAAGAAGGTTCTTTGTGCAACATCAGCAGGGCACCATTCATGACATCTACTTTGACGAGCTTTTCTTCCCTGGTGCCCCAAATACATGAACTTAAGCGGGCTACTGGATTGGCAATTAGGTCCCACCGTTTTACTGTTGAAATAACTAAATGCAACCTCCGCATTTACTTCAACAGTTTCTTTTCTCGTACTTCCCGCCATTTACTTGCTTCCCTGATGACTACAATCCTCAAAAAATTAGATACAAAACGTCAATCGCCATCTTCTGTCTTCTTGAGCGCCTTTCATCTTTTTGTCCTTTCCTCAGTCTTCTCTTTCACTTTCACTCCCTGTAACACCTATGCGTCCTAGTGGCATTACCGCCTTACTTGGGGTGAAATGATTAAAAACACAAAACGTATCTAGAAAAAAATTCTTGAAAAGATCCAAATAAAATTCTGCAAAGTTTTCAGAACTGGTATTTAGGCTATAGTCACTTTCCCGTCGCCATAATGTATTTTCCGTGTCTTTTTTTGTCTGTAAATATTTTCATTACACTTGTTCTAATAATATCACTTCTTTTCAACCTCGCCTTCTTGATTTTATGGGCAATACTAGATTTGTAGCAAGATCTCATCAATTTACAGGTGAAATGGCTGGGATGTAACCATAAATTCTATGCTAACAGTTTCTTTACTCACACTTCTCACTTTTAGAAGACCTTCCTGTTTTTTGTTTGTTTGTTTGTTTTTTACTTTTCAAACAAACTTAATTAAATATCAATCGTTATCTGATCTCTTCTTAATTCCTCTTCTTCTATTAGTTTTGCTCCTTAATAATGCCTCTCTTTTTCATATTCCCTAACACTCAGTAACCACTTGCATCTTAGTGGCTTTATTGCTTTGCTTGGGGTAAAATGATTAAAAAATAAAAACATTTCATCTTCTAGAAGGACTTCATCAGTCAAAAAGTAATAAAGTAATATTTTATTTGATGAAATTATTTATGTGTAGAGCGGGGGATATAAACACAAGTGTTGATTATAATTACATACCAGAGGAAGTAATGAAGATGTGGTTTACAATCTTTATGAAATTAAGGGCAGTAATAGATTGGCAACAAGATTTCATCATTTTATTGCAGCAGTTGCTAGGTGTAACCGGAGGTTCTACTTTAATTGTTTCCTCATTCATACTTCTTGCTTGTACTTCTGGCTTCTTGCTTTCCTGTTTATTACAATCTATAAAAAATTAAATGCAATCTCACCTTCTGTCTTCTTGAGGCCTTTTCTTTTATTGTCCTCTTTCTTCGGTACCTTTTTCTCCTAGTCTCAGTAACCGTCTTAGTGGCTATATCGCCTTGGCTTGTGTGAAATTATTAAAATGTATAGTGTATTTACAAACGCAAGTCTTTAGAAAAATTAACTTAACGTTATTAACTTGTTTGCTTTTTCCGTTCAGGTGACTTATAGTCTTAACAAAGAGATGGTATCGGTGTACGGAATGCAGAAAACAGCCAAATTTGACGTTATTGGTGGATATGACTGCATCAACTACAAAGGCCCAAGTGGGTGAGTAAAGGATTAATCTGTTTTATACACACACACACATACATACATACATATTTAAAGACATTTTTATGTTTATACATTCTTTTTATAGATACAAGTATTTAAGAAAATGCTCTGTTTATAATAAACAGTATTAAATAACATTTACCCGCCTGAATGTCCGAGAAATTTTCATAGAAAATATTCGTCCTTCGACAGGATTTGAACCTGTATCCTATACGGAACCATCATATTACCACTCGGCCACAAAGAATCGTTCGGTTGGCAAAGTCGAATTTACTGCTTATAAACTTCAATCTTCCATGAATCTCTCACGTACATTCATGTCTGCTCATATGTATACATATATATATAATATTAAGTGAAAAGATTACTTAACTTATAAATATAAATTCCATCCAGCTTTCGAAAATTCTTGGTAAAATCTCCAGTTTTTAAGGGGTTCTGGTCTTAAACGCTGGTCTTAAACTATATTATTTTTTTCTTTTTCAATTTTTTCAATATATATATATATGCGTGTGTGTGTGTGTATGTGTGTGTGTGGAGATGTTCAAAGCTAGCTTAAATTTGGCACATTGCCGAAAGTGTGGGGTACCCAGTGAGGATCGAACTCAGTATTCTGTCGGAATGGATCTACGGAAACACACCTCGTCGAAGTGCCCATATGTGTTTATGTATGTATGTATGTATGTATGTATGTATGTATTGAAATGAACGCAGATTGATGTTTGAAATCGTGTTTAAACTTTTGAAATGAACTCTCAAAAAAAAACTTAAATCTAGGTGATCTGACAATCGAGGTTCAAATCGGGAAACTGGCAGTTATTTTTCGTAATCATATGCTGATTTCTTAGAACATTCGCTTACGGGTCATGAGACCCGGGTTTGAATCTCACACTAGTCGATTTGTCAGGGAGTTGATTTCTTGATAATCTCGACCTGGTGAGATGAATCCAGTGTGCTGCACCTTTGGAATGTACCCCTAAAAACATATGTTGACCCAAGCCTTGTAAGTGACATTGGGTAGACGTAATCGCTCCGAACCGGTCGATGGTTGTACTAGCACGTAGTCGCAAGTCATCGTGACCGAGAGTTTGAGTGTGTTGGCCTTGTTCAAGAAACTGATCACGCCAGGTTATGCTCTATAACTAAGGCCCGTTCAGCATAGTTTCAGTATAAGCAACAGGTGGACTCTGTTGGATGAGTTGTCGTCTGTAATAAGAATTTGTTAGTCGCCCCGGTGCTCCGAAACGAACAGTGGCCGAATGGGTAAATGCACGTTTAAAAACATGGGTAACATTTTAAACAGGGCTAGCAAATCAAATACATGAACGAGCTAAAAATAGGCGAAAAATGGCTTTACCAATTCGGCCATGGAGGCAGCGTTGATAGAGCAAGGTTCGAATAACCTATTTAACGAAAGCACATTCTTCGTTGAGACTTCTACGAATCTTTATCTGTTGTAGCTTCTTTTCGGTTATAGAAGTGTCTACACTAATAGAAAAGGCGATAAAGGTTCGAATCCTGTTGAAGACGCAATCTTTCTCAATCTATGAGGGTTGCTATTAAATTAACAGTATAAGAAAATAAAAAAAAACGAACAACAAATCAAATACGTATATATACTGAAAAAAAAAACGTTTAGAGTATTAACAAATATACAGAGTGCGTTTCATGCGCATTTACAAAAAAATCCACAATTATCAATTACATTAATTTTTTTGTCTTAGCAATTCAACACTGGAGATGATCTTGGATGAGATTAAAAATAATTGGGAAAATAAAAGAAATGAAAAAAAAACTACGGCGTCTTCCTTAATGAATTTAATATCAACATTAAGAAGTTGATTAGAGAATTCGAGAGGATTAAAATAAAAATAAATAAACATAACATGTACAGATTATTCAACCAAGCATGCTTATAACGATATAGTGCATATATATATATATATATATATATATATATATATATATATATATATATATATATATATATATATATATATACTCCTGGTCAAAATTTAAGACCAGATAGAAAAGGATTAAAAA